TATGGCAACCGTGTTGTCCCATTCAACAACCACGCCTGTCACGAACATGCTGATGCGCACAGCAGCTACAATCGGGTCGATCACAACATCAGAGGTCCTGGCCGCACAGCAAACGAATCTGCCTGTGCGGGCTTTGAGGCTAGCACGCACTCATTCTAGCATGAACTGCTTCGCTAAAAGGGGCGGCTCAAGCTGTTGGACGCAAATAGTTGCCACAGGCCCTTTTCAATATGTGCCTCCTAAGCCTCGTCGCTGCAGTGCCGAAGGGGTCGGGGGCAACCCTTTTCATTTTAAAGCAACCCTGGCACAGACCCTTTCTAGAAGCTAAAAAGGGTGTGCCGACCCCACAGATGTCGAGGGAACGGCTATTTCTGACAGAGATTGTCAAACAATGGAGCTTAGGCTTAGAGTAAATCTGATTTTCATGCGGGAGCCGGGCGAAAACTGTAAGGCTTTCGGGTTGAAAGCTGTGCCACCATTTTCCCGAAACTGCGGCCGTAAGGGTGATCCTGCAAAGCAGACGCCAGCAGTTATGCGATTGCTTTCATAGGGGTTGCTGGCAGCAGCGAAGTGGTTGCGAGGTGCGGACTTTGAGATGGCTGATGCTTTCGCTGCTGCATCGGCGGATCACACGTGGCTCTCTGATGGGAAGAACCTTCACATAACAAATCCAGAAAGATCCGATGTCTGGCTTGGTCGCGCGGGCGGCTCGCGGTTCTTCCACCACGATGGAGCCTTGCGAGCCCGCGGGGTTCTTCCAGAGTGGTGGAACGTCAAGTTCAAGCAAGACGCGGCTCTGCCTGGCAGCTTCAACGCCGACACATTGCTGGGCTGCGAGATCTCTATCCAGTCGGACAACTTCTGCTACAGCACCCGGTTCGGAGAGAGTGTCCAGGTTGCTCCCACACAAGAAGAAGACTGTGCTTTTGAGGATGTCACTGTCGCAGGCAACCGCATCGCTTACGAATACAAGTCCTCAGCCTTTGGGGTCCAGACTTACAGATCTAGTGTGACCTGCTACCCCACAGCAGCCTTCGAAGAGATTCTGGTGCAGGTGGTGGACGTCGGCATGCCCGCGGGCCACGTCGAGGCTGAGCTTGGTGACTCGCGGTGCCGAAGAACGATACACTACAGGCTGGATGCTTGGTCATATCTGTCTGAGTGCCACGCTCGCTGACCATGGAAGACCGGTCTGGTACTGCCTCATGACTCATGCTTGGTCCGAGGAACGCGTGAGGAAAACATCCATCATGTAGGGTTTGTGTTTGCAGGCTGTCATGCACTGAAGCACAGTACCTGCTGGTGTGTGCGCATATATGCTTGTCTGCTCGCAGAGTTGAGCAGTCTTTACACACTTGACGTTTTGGCTTCCTTAGCTTTAGAAGCAGGCCCATCCATGTAGCACTTGCATGTGACATGCGCGACCCCGCTCTTCTGACTTGGGCCTTGGCGATCCACGCAGTGGCGATTCAGGAGAGGGGTGCAGCAGTGCAGTAGACCCTACACCTTGAATCCGAATCCAGCGGTTCTTGCTCTAACCCCGCTATGCGGGCTTCATAGCAGGCGGCAGGCAGAAAGGCAGCACCATAAAATGGTGACCGAAACCCGGAACGGTGAGCCGTTTCAGCCATAAGTCCTGATCCCTAAAGTCTGCACCAGAAACATGGCATCATCAACCTTGAAGTTTCATCCCTGAGACAAGCAATGGGCCCTGAACCGTAAGTCAGTATGTTCTACGCTTTCGTAAGTTTAAAGTTTAGTATCGTGTAATTGTGGGCTTTGGTGTTGCGTCGCCAACAAGTCCCGTCTTAATGTCGACGACGAAAGCCTCAACCCTAGAGTCTGTCCTTAACCTGGGAGAGTGGGAAAAGCTTGGTCCTTACACAGTGAGACCTCAGAAAGAGGCTGTAGTTTTTCGGCCTCAGTTATCCGAAGGGTTAGCACTCCCGGGTCTGCTGTCTCACCCTTGTCATCTCGGCATGCGAAGCCTTCGGTCCAAACACCAAGTTCTTGTTCCGAGACAGTGAAACAAGTATAGAAATTTATTCCTCAGAGTTACAATAACATATCTACAGTTCAATAACCTCCTCCGAAGCCCTGGGCTGATCATTCAGGGCTTGCTGCAGGAGCATCATGCCGCGCTCGACGTAGGCAGCCAAGTTCACGCGGAAGTCCAAGGTTGGGGCTGGGCAACCTTTACCAAAGAGCAGTTCTTCGCTTACAGCTTCGTGCACTTCCGGATTGTTGAATCGAGTTTTCGATCGTTCTTTCCGAGCGTGAGTGGTTCAGATTCACTGTGAGAGCTACCCGAAAGTCATAGTTCCTAGCTGCATCTGATGACAGAGCATGAACGGTATGTCCCCCTTCCCTTGTAGGCAGTAGGCATGCCGGCATTGCCGTGCTGGCCGACGACCATTTCCGAGAGAGCCTGGCTTCGACATTCAGATTCACTTTTCCTTGGCTTCAGGGAAGGGGTCAGCCTGCTGTTCATTAGAGCTTGAACTGCAATTCATGCCATTACCTGGTTGAGTCCAAGAGGATCGTCGAGTCTGACGGCTGAGTCCGTCTAGCCAGTCAACACAGTAGAAAGGGAGAAGCCACAAGCCATACCACGGAACAAAGAAGCACTCAACTCAGTCAAAGGGCAACGCTGGAAAACCTAAAACCCCCACTGCTGCATGAAGTGGGCAGACAGGCTAGATAACCACAGAGTACTTAAGTGGAGACTGCATCATAACTCGATGCAGTGGAGCAATGCCTCTAAGAGAAGTCGTGGGGCAAGGGCCTTATGGGTGTTTTATGGTTTACATGGGTTCCGGTGTGTATGTCATGAGCCCTGCAGCTTCTCTCGCGTGACGGACATGTGTGGAGGCTTGCCTGCCATGGCCGAGAGTGAGAGCCGAAAAGCCCCACAAATGAAGACCCTCTCCTCAGATATGTGTAGCATATCTGAGGATGGTTGATAACTTAGTGAAGTGGTGACTTGTGTCGAACAACCTCGGATTTAGGTCTTTAGGTTTCACATCCAACCGACAAAGCACCAAGAACTTCACCTGGCAGGTGGGATAGTGAGCGCCGAAACCTTCGCCTGTCTTGTCCGAGTTGTGAGAGCGCAAAACAACGATCGCCCTGAGCCGTCCCCCAAGGCACCATCAAACTAAACTCAGAACGCCACGTCTTCAGAGTATTTAGAGTTTTTGTGGGGTGTTAGTAGCGTCTGCAATTCGAAGAGCTGGAGTGGAAGAGATACAGACCCACAGCCCTGCGCACAATCCACAAGCCACTACAGAACGTGGGCTACGGGCGGAAAAGGCCCGTGCCGCCGGGGTCAGGGAATTGAACGGGCAACGATGCAGATACTGAGTATGACTGAGCATTTGCGAACCAGGTATTCCAGCGCAGCAGGCATGACAGTTCGAATAATAGGCTTGAAAGCTGATCGATCGGAGTAGAGTCTGGGTTCAAAAGGGCCTTCAGGCCTTGATCTCCGAAGTCCATGCATTCGGAATCATGCCGGTTGTCGAGCGTTTCTCTGATTTTTGTTGGCCTGAAACCGACGCTCTGGTGTGTAGTGTTCGTGCAAAGTACGAGCAGCAGCTCTCCGTCAAGATGCCGACGAGTATTCAGGATCCAAGATCTTGATGACATGTTTTGCAATGAAGCTTCATGATGCGAGCTCGGAGCGCGGCATGCCTCTGCCCCTGAACTCGTCTCCCTTGCGCCGATTTTGGCTTCAGCCCGTTGTCTGCTAGTCCGACAGTTGCATGCAGTGCTTGCTTTAAAGCACACAACTACTAAGAGGTGGTTCATCTTTCGACCCTACGGCATGACTTTGGTTGTCGCGAGGCTGAATATGGCAAGGCCCGCATTCCTCATGGAAACCTGCCATGATACTGTGGGCGCCGTCAGTCTTCAAGCCTTGCACTTGAGGAGGCCTTTCGGCAGTGATGATTGCGGGTTTGGTTGTAGGGCTTTCGGGTTTCGGGTTTCTTCAATCTGTATTGACTTTCGGCACCTTCGATCAAACACGTTCGTCGCGCCTGAATTCTGTGAGCATGCCACGACCATAGTGGCGTAGCCGCTAGTGCCACGCCTTCGCGCGCAGTGTGTATGGTCAGAGATCTGGATGCAAAAGAAGGGTTTTACAGCTTGAGTTCTGAGGATTTGAGACTTGGAGTGTAGAAGTTAGAATCTGTTAGAAGCCCTACAGGCGAAACATGTAAGCCAACCCACTCTAAAGTCCTGGTTTGTACGTATTTGTGTAGGTGTTCCTCAGCAACCCTTGAATTCCCGGACGGCCGACCGGTAGCCATGTGTTCTTCTGGCAGTGGAAACTCTAAACCCCGAGCTCTGACATCTGCGTGTTCAACCCTATGGCCCTGCCTTCTCCAGTTTGCTATGTATCATGTTCACTGATTTGCATTGCGGACATGAGGATCAGCTTGAATGCAACTCTACGAGGGACCTTGTATTCTAAGCTTGGAGGCGGAGAATTAAGCACACTCTGAGTGCACCCTAGTGGCAGGCTCTGGCATGGCCCTGAAGATGCCTCAACATCTTCTCTTGGGCCTGCCCGTGGCTGCCCCGCCGCACTTGGAAAGTGAACTTATTCACTGAACTTTCCTTGTTCCCGACGCAATAGTTTCACAGCTGATTCAAGGGAAGAGGTTATTGTCATGAACGAGTAGTTGCGATGGCTGTATTTTCTGTTGCGTCCAATGTCTTGACAGCACAATAGTAATGATTATTACTATAGCAGCAAAAGTAAGTATAAACATAATCATGTTACTGTCGATTGTGGAAGTTCTTCGTAAGAATGCCGGCGAGAGTTGGGCTCTGCTCCGGCTGTTGGCACGGCAGAAGTCTCGCAGGTCTTGTGCTTCCGGAAATGAGCTGTCGGGTCGACATGATGGGGTTCCTCTTCTACTGGCAGGGTTTGCCGACGCAGATCTTCCATTTTACCAACCACGAGCGCAATGGTTCCCGGCTGCGGGGCAATGGAATTTGGGGTCTTCAGTTACTATGGTAAAGTCAGTTGTCACCGCGATGAACTTAGAATTTACTATTTCTACAAGTTGTCGTCGAGTGTACAATAGCCACAGCCCTGGAAAGCCCGGGCCCTCCGCCCCTTCACCAGAGGGAAACAGAAGGCAACCGGCGGAATCCTCAAACACAGACCGGAAGCCTCACGCCCATAAGCCTGCAAATCCTGATTCCGACAGCCTCATATCGAAAAAACGAAACTGCATGAGGTGCTGGGTGTTTGCCTGCGCTTGAGCTTTGCTGCCCGTGCCGCTTCCTGGGAGGCAGATGCATAGAAGAGCGGGGCCAGGGGTTGCCTTGCCGTGATGACTTCACGGTGCCCAATTGTTATCGACATGTTGTTCAGCTCGGATTATTGATTGCTTCTTTAGCTTTCGCCTTCAAATTGTCGTCGTTGCCAGTGCACCCACTCATCCTTGTCTTTGCCTGGCACATCTAGTTTTGTTTTAGCGTTGAAGCTATTCATCGAGAAGGTTGCCACAGTAAATTTTGTGCCCAAGGAAGAGAGCAACGAGGCTTAAGGGCATGGGCTCGTGCTTCTTGCTTCATAAACGCCATTTTGCAACATTGTTGTGACGAAGGCTTATTGAACGTTTTGTCAAAATTCCGAGTGCAAGTCCGAGCCGACAGCCGATCGGGCCATCCAAAGATTTCTGGAGAGGATGAGCTGCGGCAGGGCCTGGCAAAGGCGGACAGCAACCGAGATTCCTGGGGTGACGCTTGGCATTGCAGGACATCGAGCGGGGACTCCTTCCTACTTTCAACAAGGGCGGTTTCAACAGGCTTTTTCAAGGTTTTCAAGTTTTTGAAGGATGCAACTAATCAGGTTGAGTAACGCAAGGCTCCATGAATTCGCGACCTCGGAGCAACTCCAGTACTGTGCTACAGCCGGAGACGTGGAACTGCGGAACGGCGGAACGGCCCCGGGAGCCCCAGTGCCAGTGGTCAGCAACCGGGTCTCCTTGCCCTGAACTTAAGAACTGCTTACTTCATGGCGCTGTGGTTGGGAAAAGGCCTAGGCTACAGAGTTTCTCCCTAAACCCTAAACCCTAAACCCTAAACCGTTGAGGGGAAGCTTCAATGCAGCTGAGGACTTCTTCAGCGAGCTTGGCATTTTTTTGTGGCACCTCTGGTTGCAAAAAGTTTTGTCTCCTGAGGGGAAGCTGTATTCAATTGGTTTTTGTGTGGGTTGTAGTTAAGACCGACCCATGTGGTACTTCATGTTGAGGGGGGGGGTAAGACTTGGCGGACAGGAGAATTGGCTGAGCAGGGCGAGGGCAGCTCACAGCCAAGACTACAGGTACTATATCAGTACTGTTGGGCACTGTTCTCCTCAGCCTGCTGGCTTAAATCGGTTGCAAGGTCTTTGAAGGTTTATCCCGCTTCGGGTTTAGAGCGTGGAGATGGTTTTGTGTACTTTGCCCCATGCTCCTTCGGTTCACCTTGAGCAAGATCTTCATTGATTGAAGGGGTGCAGATAGGATAATCCCAGCTAGGAGGGTACTCACCACCTTGCCTGTGACCTACTTACTGAGTGTTTGGAGCCTCCATGCCAGAGGACGCTGGATGTTCTTTGGTTCCTGGTGGCCGCCACAATCGCCTTGGTTATCGAGCCTTGGCCGCGCTTGGTGCCAGGGCGTCCCCAGGTCTGAGGTCACCCGACCGCACGACGTCCATTCCGGGCCCTTGAAACTAAAGTCTTCGACGGGCCCTTCCCAGGGATTCTGGCAGCCTTCACAGATCGTGGGCGACGCCTCGCAGGTCGGTTTCTGGGCTGAGCTTGGAAGTCTCGTCTCAGGTTTGGGACACTCGCAGCAACAGGGCGTTTGGGTTCAGACTTTAGCCATGCTTGCAACGGCACGAAGAGGGATCCTGTGCTTGGGGGCATCATTGGTTGCGGCGCCCCAAGTCACCACTTGCGGTCAAACAGCGGCCGCAATTTCTTTTGCCTGATATTGCCAGTCTTGTGTCGAGCCCGTTAGAGCTGTTTCCGCCCGTTGTGAGAACTTCCCAATCTGCCAGTCTTGTTTCGAGTCGGTGAAGGCTATTGCATGCTATTGCCCTCCTTGTTAAAATGCTGCGGGGGTTCTGCGATCACGGTGCTCCCTGGGCCGTTGAACAAGCATCGTTTCGCAACTGGGGAGGGGGGTCTAAAAGGCTGATCAACCTGCTGTGCCCAGTGTTCATAGACGAGCAGGGTACAGGGCAACCCGCAAGAGCCCGAAAATCGGAACACCTTTCCCAAGCCATTGGCGCCTGAAGAGACATTGAATCTTGCTTGACACCTTCGCTTGGTAAGGATCCGACGGCGTCAAGTGGACGCCGCCGTCTTGGTACACCTTGACCACGATCTTCGCATCGCTCCAAAGCCACGCAGCTGGCATCCTCGGCTTCGTGGGCTTCCAGAAGATCGTGGTGGCCAGGCCAGCGACAGGTATAATGTATTTCTTAAACTTCGCCCTAGAGGTAGGGTCTTGAGTCTTGAACACGTCGCATCATTCTCTCTGACGCCGTAGTCTATCTTCAAGCCTTTACCTTATGTTGCAGAACGAAGGTAGTTTTGGTTGCTTGCCAGGATCGTGTCCACGAGCCAGCCCAGGGCCAACTGGTCGGCGCCCAATTTCCTTCTCCTCACCAGCATTGCCATTTCCATCACGGCGATTTTTTCTAGCCTCGTGTGCCTGGGCTTTATTCGAGTTCTCGCATACTGAAACGTCTGAGTGCGCAACCTGGCTACTTTGAGGGCTGTATGTTGAGGGCTGGTCCTGAACCTCAGCAGTTTCAACCTTTCAGTCGCAAACTGCCCCGGTTTCAGAATTGATCATTTCCGACTCTGCAATTTCACCCTACCAATATACGTTGTCGTCCTCACCCTCCGGACAATAGGTTTATGGGTGTGGACTACTTGCGCCGCCTGGCCATCGACAGCGCACGGAGCCGGGGCTACCGGCTGATTTTCATGCACGGCAAGCTGGAGCGCACAGGCCGGGGAGGTTTGGGTACATCGGCGTAGGCTTATTGGTATTGGGGTTGGTTGCTGTATTTCTTGTATCAGTAGTATCCCGCGAGTTGCTAGAACTGTAATGAGTACATACTTAGTCCGCATCGTTTGCATTGTTGCTAGAACATGGGTAGGCATGGTATTCTGAGCACGCTCGGCTTGTAGAAGATCTGAAGACCTGGCCCAAAAACACATGAGTAACAGTTCGTTCTGCAGCAGCATACTAAGATCGGAAGTGGAACAAACCAAACTTCAAAGTCTGATTACCTCCAAACCAGCAAACCTTTGCAAACGCCTGGCTGTGTTGTGTATTGGGGGAGTTGCGATAAAGTGAGTTCTTCCTCCTGGGAGCAGGACTCGGTATGGCGCTGATCATAATGACCGTCGTGCTGATAGTACTGCCGCTGGCCGGCACAAAGCTCGGCTTGATCCGGGGATGGGTCGTGAAAGGGCTAATGCCTAAGCGTTTGAAGATGAGGTGGCCGGACTGCGCAAACCACCAGGGTGGGCTATTGCCTGACACACACGACCTGGGTGGGTTATTGCAATGTTTGAAACTGCTTAGGCGACCGGGCGACTTTGTGAGCAGGTGGCACGTAATGTGATATCCCCATATCACCTACTGGTACTTACTAAATCTCCTGAGTCTCCAAGCGGTTGAGACCGAGACCGGGGACCTGTCCCAAGGTACATGCTCGTCATCTACAGCGAGACACAGACACAGAATTCCAAGAAGCAGGACCCCCGTGCTTGGGGCTGGCCGAGGTGTCCTGGAGTCTCAGCATGCTATGTATTCTCCAGCTGCCTCGCGCAGCCCCTAAACAGCTTGAAATATATTCCGCCAACTTAAAGTCCAAGCCACAAACCTGTCCCTCCCAGGAGGCATTTCCAGATTTGGCTGTCAACCACTCGCGTGTCATGAAAGTGTTGATGGACAAGGCCCAGGTTGAACGCATAGGTTGGCCATAGAGTTCCCAGAGCGCAACATCATTAGCCCTGCGACTGCAACCACGTTTTTGGCCCTAACCCTGTGCGAACTGCACCGACGAAGTTGTTTGCCGGTGTTTTGCTAGGAAAGGTGCTCATGTATGGTGCACCCTGACCGCCCCTAGCCCATGACAGCCGGTTTCCTCCCGGTGCAATGCTTAAATTCAAAAACGTGGTCTTCTTGCCAAGCAGAACGTTTGTTCCACTGCACTTTGTGCCGTAGCTTGTTGCTAAGTCATGTTAAGTCCATAGGCACTGCCAAGCTTTGGAACCCTTGACAGGACCTGCAACAAACCCTACATAAACCCAACAAGAAGTTTTAGTTCCCAGAGCTCCCGTCTGAAAGGCCTGCAGCTGTGCCACGGTCCTGATTTACTTCTTCAACCTTCGCAGCTTGTGTGAATCACCCAAGGCCACGTTCGGGGGGGTGTGGGGTCGCCGTGCAGGATTCCTCGGTCTAGGGTCCTGGGCACAGGCTTTTAGCACTGGGTTTTGAGCTGTGGGGTTTGAGCCTGGCTCGCAGATGGCACATGCACAACCCTGCAGCAGACAGTCAACGCCGCCGCGCGAAGCCCTCAACTTCCCTATTTACCTGACCTCGTCGAGTGCCAGTGGCGCAATATCACCTGTCACCCATGGAAACCTTGCACCACCCATGGAAAGGACCTATAGACATGTGCCGCAGATGCTTCGTCGTGGGTTCGTCCTATGTAGCAAGGCGCAGGCAACAAAATTAGGCATATGCCTCGCCTGGATTGTCCCACGTCCGACTGCTGTAACAACAGCAAACCCAATTCCAACCCGAAACGATAGACTGCCGCATGCTGGCGGCCTGGCAAAGGTGCACTTCCACCAGAATGTAGCAAGTGCAGGGGAGGAGCTGGAACGGATCAACACCAAGGAGCTTCTTTGCTTGAAGGGCACCGGCAAGGCTTCAGGGGTGTCGGGATCAGGCCTTGCAGCCTGGAGACTGGGATTTGGGTTTTACCGTGTCTCGGTCGTGGTGTGGCTAGACTAGAGTCCATTGTAAAATCAGGGTGTCTTGGTTGAAGGCTGTTTTGTCAGGGTTGAGGCTCCGTTAAGGGCTTCGAGCGAAGCAGGTGGCTGGCGCTTTCAGAATGTGAGAGCACTGGTTCGGGATGCGATGCGGCCTGCCCACAGCATCCAAATGATTGGCTCCGCTGCTCTTGCAACTCGCTCAGATTGATTGAACCTTGGCGCATTCTCAGAACAGAATCAAATCCAAGAAGCCTCTGCTGAAGGACTACTTGACGAAGTTCTGCAGCCGCCGTGATGAAAGGTGGGCTGGTCGAACACATCGAAGCTAACGTCAAAGAAATAGGGCTGTGGTGATAGTCGACCACTCCTATACCAGTAATAAAAAGAGAGCCAGGCAGTAGAGAAACGTCACGTGAACAACTGCTGCCGAACCAGATCATCGAACCACCAGCAGCAGTTCTCAGCTTTGGGCGCAGAGCCCCCTGCAAGCCCTACACCTTAAAACCCCGCTGGACAAAAAGCAGCTGTGTGTAAGCTGCATGAAGAGCTTTTTATGACCCCGGTCTCCTCCTCCTTCATCTCCGAATGATATGTATGATAAAACTCCATATTGGGGCCTTCTTCTACCTATCGCCCTCCTCATCAACCCTTATCTGAAGACTGCTTGGTAGCCTTAGACTGAAAGATCGATACATTATCAGCTAGCTTGAGCACCTTTAGGTCCAATGTCCGAAGCTACCTGGCCTACCTGGCCTATGGCTTGGCCGGTGAGGACCTACTTTGTTAGGGTTGACGCTTACAGCGAAAGTCATAAAAGCGACAGTGACGAAAGCCGATTCATGGAACCGTATCCCCACGCACATGCATGAATTCCACACTACATACAGGTCGTGATTTTCAGGGCTGCGCACTCATGTGTCCATGCATGCACGTGGGCACATTGAACCGGCGACACTCAGCGACTATACTCAGCAATGAGCCTGTCGTAATATGCAGATGAGACGTGCTCTGAAACTACGTCGAAGTCCTTCAATTGCATCTTCAGAGTGCGATGACGGCGACGATGCACATGCAGCCCTGCGGCTTTGGAAGGGCTTGAAGCCCATGTAAGGCACGTTTGTTTTCTACGATGGGCACCTGCAGGGCAGTTCTTTGTCAGGGATTCTACGCAGCAATCGGAGTGTAGTTTGTGGCCTCGCAGTGCTTGTGCTGGGAGGTCCGTATGACCTCACGCGGTGGCGCCCTCAGCAACCCTGCCAACACGCTGCAACACTCCGGTTCAACCTTCTAACACTCCGTACAGAAAGCTTTGTGCAGCGGCATCACTACTTCAGAACCCCGGCATACATCCTAATTGTAAGGTTCCATGGCGCGAACTTCGCCTCATTGGTCGCACATTTGCGTGGCCGCAGGACATCGGCCTCTTGGTCAAGATGGGCACGCGCCGAGCCTTATTCCCGAATCAGCGCTTGGCGCCGCTGTTGAACGTCGCAACTTGCCTGGCACTTATGTGGGCACTTGACATCCTAGCCTCAAGCGCCGTTTGCGCGCTCTCCTGACTGGTAGACCTAGCAACGAATGTTTGCGTGGCCCTGAAGCATCTGTATTCGTCGTTTTGGTTTTGTCATGCAGCCGTGTATTTGATGGCTGTGGTATTGATGAGCAAGGGCCAGGGAGACTGCGCGGATACCTCAGGTAGAAAGTTGTAAATATCTAGATATGGGAGTCTACCGAACTGGAGAACAGCCACTAGAGCGAATGCTGACACTAGCAGCAATGCTTACGACCTATTCTCAGTACCGGAAAGGGACAATGTCGAGAGACTCATCAGGTGCGACACGCGTGCGACACGCGTATACGTTCGGCGATTTGTGCGGACGTGTCGAGAACACAAATTTATGGTCAACCCCTGACCAGAAGGTTGCACGCGAACCGTTCTGGGAAGCATCTAGGTCGAGCACGACTCAGATCTCTTAGACAGATCCAGATGCTAACCCCCCCCCCCCAAGAACTACC